TTTTATTTTTTTGAGCAGATTTAAATTAAAGGCTTTAATGATTACTTGTGTGTGTAGTGATTTTTATGTCTTTGAAGTGACCCAGCTGCCGACAAGAGAATAAGCACTCTCTGATTTTCATGCAGATGGGTGGTTTTATACAACAACAGCAATATTCAGACACATTTCTCCACACACACACAGTTGCTGTTTGTTCACACTGCGAGCACCTAAATGTAGTCTTGAAGGTTTGCAACAGGAACAGGATGTTCCAGTTTAGATGATGTCTTTTATGATGCTGTCCAATGAGAACACATACCATGCATGTGTTTGCCTATCTACTGTAAATCATCTATACCTGCTGACCATTTTCCAAAAGCTGAGTTTATTGGTGAAGCAGATGAGCTTGTTTTTGGAAGGTTATTGTGCATTTTGTGACTAAAGCATGAAACTATCTCCAGTGTTTCTGTTAACCATTAAGTTTATTTTCAGACGTGGAGACAGTTCAGATGTGACCTCTGGGACAGGGCAGAGCCCCCTGGAGTAAGTGTGGTCCAGACCATGCGCTAATTCTAATTCTACTCTATTCCATAGAACACACTGCAGAAGTTATCAATGTTGTCAATGATTATAAAGGAGAATTTGGGGCAAAAACTGGAAAAATGCAATGCTGAGGTCATGACCTCTCAAGGTAACCAGATTTCAGATATAAATTGCCTCCACCTCTGGAATAAAACCTTGGGGTATGTTGATTATCTGCTAAACTTCCATGCTTTAGTTATAGAATGCACAGTTGCTTTGTCTGTCTGCTCCGCTATATTAGATGTTTTTTCTTCCAAGCAGACACAGCCTGTTCTGTAGAGACTTACAACTGAAAGAATTAATCATTTAGTGAAAATAATATGTGTTGGGTTACATAATACACTGTATCATGTGGCAGTTGTAGGGGCATACTGATTTGCACTTGTTTGCCATGCAGTGGTGGCATATCAGGTAAGTTATGCAAAGTTCATCTTCAGACCGTATGGTGGTAATGATGAGAAATGGCTGCATGGAAACTAAGGAACACATAGAGAAATGTAAAGCACTGTTAGATGTTGGAAGCTGGCCAGCAGGGATGAAACATCAAACAACACTGTTATGGTTCTTGTAAAGCTGCATTAATCCATTTTGGGCCACTAGAGGACTGAGTAGCTCCATGTGAAGTTGAAGTTAAAGTTGCCAGTTTACACATCCAGCAGACATACATTTGGAGTCTGGTCATCTTATGAATATCAGTCCATTCACTTTAGCTCTGTGTTTGGCCTCCACCAACAGGACAGTGGCTTTATACAGCTGTTTCTCTGAAAACAGCTTCTTACTGTTTGGCATGTGAAGGCCTGCAGGTAGTGATAGTTCTGAGTTTCATTCCTACAAGTCTGACCTTAGACATTTTATTCATTGATAAATCTCTAAATCTGTTGATGAATGCAGCTTTAACTGAACTGACACAATCTGTAGCATTGACAGAACAGCAGATGGATCGCTCATCCATTCCACGTGTGGTCCTGTGAAAATGTGATTGGCTGTTGACAGCTGATGTTGGCACCTTGTTGACTGTGCTGCTTGCAGTTTGAATGCATGTGACTGAAACATGGAGATGCTGTCACACACTCTGAGGCATTTGTATAAAACTCATGGACTCACACTTACAAAGGTGTATTTCCTCTCTGGATCAATGATGATGCATAATAATACAGAACTGGCTGCAAACAGGACACTTATGCTGTGTTCACGACCTATGCAAAATATGATAGATCCACATTTCCAACAATAAAATACTGACAGAGGGTTTACGTTGGCGTTGTGAGGGGTAGCAGTAAGACTGACCTTAATGCTGACAGGTGGACAACTGTAGAAAATAATGTTCTTAATTAAAGCTTACAGAGTAAATGGTTTTCATCACAATATCTCATCATTTGCTGTTGAAGCTCTGGCAGGACACGTCTGCTGCATGTTTGTGTTATCAATGCCATGATGTTGGATTTGCCGTGGAATGTTTAACTTTGTCATTATGTGTTAAATGAAGAATGACTGATCTTTACACTAATCTACATTCATGGACTCTTGAATTTAAATATATGAATAACTGTCAAGTCATTTTGATGATCATTGTCAAAGGACGTGAATGCAGCATTACAATCTAAGGCCGGAGGACACAATGAAAGCTCAAACTGCCGGCTGGCCGGCTAGCATTCATCACAGTAGCCGAAACAGCTTCAGCAACTCTTCAAAACTCTTCTCAACAAACCCAGCCCGTGCCTTGGACAACTGTTCTCTGGTGGCAGTCGCATCTCTGGATCTTTAGATGGACAGCAGTAGTTTTCTTTAGACTCGTGTCTGACAGGATGGTTGCTCAATCCATCCAGACTGATAAACTCTGACTGAAAGCAAGCATTTCTGAAATCATCTCAGCTCTTCACAGTGCTGTTCTTCCTGGTTTCTAACAGAAGGTCACATCTGGATCTGTGACATGCTCACTTGTCAGAATAGGTATCTAATGCCATGTTTCCACAGACCAACCACAACCTGCTGTGCCAAGTCATGATCATCACAGCTGCGGATAACCGTGGTAACTGTTGCCTTGTGGTGCTGCTTGGTAGCAGGGCTGATCAGGGCCTACCTGTGATGGTCTCCCCCTCAAACCTAAGCTCAGAACATGGTGACTGAAGATGAAGCTTTGTTTTGACATACAACAAATATATCATCCTCATTGTTTACTGATTCCTTTACTGAGATATCAGAGTTCCCGCTGCTGCTGCTGCTGCTGCTGCTGGTGAATCACTGGTGTTATTGTGAAGGTGGCTACAGGAAATGCATTTGTCAAGGAGATTAGCAGTGTCCAGTCAGTGCAGTATGTAAATTATCTGCTTAGCACTAAACACACCTGCAAGCTTCAGGCTCAGGAAAGGCAGCAGACTGCCTGCTACTCTGAGTCTGTTGGTGTGAAGTGGGCAGTAGGAAGAGCAGCAGCATTTCTATCAATGAGGGTAGAAACACCTCTTTGTATAATGTAATACATTTCAACAGCAGCATAAACTGCAGCCTCCATAATGATCACACAGGTGAATCAACACGTCTGAATCAGTTTGAACACAAACAACACAGGACTGATGGATCAGACTGGCTTGGTGTTCCTAATAAACTGCAGACTTAGTGTATAATACTGATTTATTTTGAGGCAACAATCTGCAGAATCATTACAAAAATGTTAGTTTTGATTTCACAAAGCCTGAAACACAATTTTGAGCATGAGACAGTGAAGGTGTGAGCTGAGCTGGTTTTAGAAGTGCACTCAATGGAAGGATGTGTTCTCACACACGGACCCGCTCTCTCTCACTTCAGATGAAGACTGCTTATATGACTTTAACAATGTGCGTGTTATTACATGTGATATTATGTCATTTGGAGTGATCATGTGGAAGACTGATGGGTTTTTGTTAGAACACTGAGAGCTGTGTTCTTTATGTGTTGTATGAGTGTTAATGACTGATATTGAGGTTTGAAGGCCAGTTCAGGTTCCTTTACCTGCTGTAACCATGTGTTACCTATGTTTTGGCTTATAGTTCATATTTCATGCTGGTATTCATAAGAAGAATAAAACATTTGATGCCCAAAATTAGAAGTGCTCAGTGTTTTCCTAAAGAATAGAAGTCTCATCAGCAGGGCTGTCTATGGTTGTCCTTTTTTCACAGAAGCCAGATGCAAGTTTTATGCCAGTATCATTTTTTTTTCATCTGTGAAAGCAAGCCCGGAGAGGCAAGTGATTTTTTTTTCTTTTCTTTTTTTGAGAAGAAAGCCAAAAAAACTACAGATAGTGTTGTGATTGGATACTTAGCCCTACTTGTCAGAGAGTAGATTATGGAAAACTAGATCAAATTGAAGTACTAAAATAAAACATCCAAACGCATTTCTGTTAAGAGTCACTTTAGGGTTAGAACCATGACATGTTTATTGAGGTTCCTTGAGTTGGACCAGTATCTGCTGCAGATGTCCTCAGCCCGGTTGGCAGGAGATTGTCAGGAGAGGCTTGATGCTGAGACGACAGCCATATCTAGATTCAGCAATGACTGGACCATCAAGTCAGGTGACTAATTACAGAGTGCTCAGCAGGGGATTGGATGGAAGACTTTGATTAGCAATGTGATTGGCTCATCTGGCAATCAAACTGTGAATCACACAGTTGAAAAGAAACTCCCTTGTTCTCACAGGGCTTCACCTGTTGCAGCTGTGTGGATTTCTGTGGGATTAAAGCACGTTTTAAGTTATTCAGATAGCATTTATGTTTATGTTTGTAGAAAATAAGACAGTGCTGGTAGCCCACTTAAGCCGCATTTCAACCGCAGGAACTTTCCCCAGGAACCTTTTGTGTAACAGGTCCAGACTCCATTCAACTCCAACCTGTTTCCAGTTCAGCTGAGGAAGAGGAAGAGGAAGAGGAAGAAAAGCTTCTCCCTCTGACAGGACATGTGTCGCTTCAGCACATAGGGACATACTTTAATTTCCTGAATGAACTGTTGTTCCTGATGGGACAATGCTGTCATGGCTACAGTGACCTGCCTGGGGGCCAAGCTGCTGTGGCCTCTGTTACTACAATTTACTATACTTGAAAGGTGCAGTAGCGTTTCAAGATGGACGACAGCACAGGCTCTTTCTTCACCCTGCTCACATAGGTTTGAGGTGACTGATTGAAGAGTCAAGGTTTTGTGGATGTAGTTTGAAAACTTTGAGTTTTTGAGTTTTGTGTTCTGTGTTCAGTTTGAGAAAAGAGTAGAAGGTTTCAACAGGTGTCTGTGATATAAGCTAACTGGTTAGCCTAGCTAGTTAGCCTGCTGGGTAAGTACAATGAGCAGCCTTGGTAAGCTCAAGATATTATAAATCCTTTGCATTGTTGTTGCTCTGGCTAACAGGAGCTAACTGGTTAACTCTGGTCACACTCAACAGCCATGGCACACTACTAAGACATGGAGAATAACAGGCCAGACATTTGCTGCCCTTAAAGGGACTTTATTTTATTGCATTTAAAACCCAACATTCCACACACCAGACATTTTACCTACACAGACCCAACAACTCAGCCACACTCTGGGTGAGTACATGAAGCTTTGGTATCATTAGTGAGTTATGAGCATCAAATGGACATCATGACATGAGCAAGTTTGGCCTGTTGTTGCACCTCAATACAAAACCAAACTAAAGCTTCCTGTCTATAAAGCATAAATATTCTCCAAATGCGATGAAATCTACTGGAGGGATGGACACTGTTTTTCCAAAGATATTCCCTGCTTTGATGATTGATGATGGTGGCGAGCGCCGTCTCCACCCACACAAGCAGAAGGGAACACACTGCACATGTGCTGTCCTGTTTATACAACTGTGCAGACTTCCACACAAATGATTACAGAATGTATGTAACGCAATGCAACGCCCCTGCAGTTGTACTTCAAGACCAGTTTTGCATTTTATGAAGTCCATCTTAAAATGATGGCTGTCATGTTTTTAAAACTTCATGTTTGAAGAAATTCAAACTATCATGTAATTTGTTTCAATTAATACAAACAACCCATAAAGTGCAATAAGCCACTGGTTATGAGTGTGTAGCTCCTCTGGTTTGTGCTTCACCTGGGCTGCTGCAGCAGGTGGTTGTTGTGGTTGTTGTTGTTGTTGTTGTAGTAGTCAGCCTCATCTTTGTTGGTCTACAGTGAGGAATCCAAAATACTTCCACACTCTGCTTCTCAGATGCTTTGGTGTCATGATTTGATCCGATCAGTGCAGCTTTGTTCTGTAGTGTCCTCCTCCATTTTTATTGATTAATTTAGTTTTCTAACGGGTCAGTAGGGAGTAATAGGTCAAGCTGATAGTGGATTTGAGGAGCACCCTCTGCTCGACCACAACGCAAACTACTTCAAACTGTCTGATACGCTTAGAGACGGCTAGTTTGAATTTGGACAGATAAAAAGTGACAGCCCTGCAGTAAACAATGGTCACATGTCCATATGCACACTGAGCTTTATTGGTCGCTGTGATTGTTCCTCTTCTTCAAACTGGCCATGAAGAGATATCTTCCTTCTGTGATTTCAAAGCAAAAAAATCCAGTCCTCATTCTTTATCTTTCAAGACAGTCCCTGTCATCCTGGAAGACACCACTTGATTTTTCAAAATAAGTCTATAGTAGTTATTGTACTTTAGGACATACGTTCTGTTGAATCAGAAGCACAACAATGGATTGGAAGGACAATGTTTCTGCCAGAGAAACAACATATACCGACTCTTCTATCTCTCCATACCACAGCAACTTCTACAGGCTGTCAGCAGTGTAGCACTGACTTCAGCACTGGAGGACAAAAACAAGTCAAACTTTAAAAAGCTCACACTCTGTGCTGCATCCTCCCACAGCAAAGTACATTATAAAATGAGATGACGAGCAACAACAGCACTGATAAAAAAAAAAAAAAAAAAAAAAAAGATTTGGGAGGAGGTATATGTGCAAAAACAGGTGGTTACAAAAATAATAAAATTCAAAAAGATAATATTCACTGATACAACAAAAAACAGCTCGAAATTTACAACTAGGGATGTGATCAGGACACACAGTTAATTCCCTAAATACCCTAAAAATACACAAGTAAAAAGCAGGAAAATAAGAAATAATCATCAATAGTGAGAGGGAGTTCCTGGAGGAATGACTTTGTTTCATTCATTTGGTTTTCTCTTCCCTGGTGTCCACTGTCTTCCTCTGATGGCAATAAGGGATCGTGTTGATCTGCTGGTTTTTATAATGGTTGAGTCGAGGTAGGCTCAGTTCCTCCTCTCCTAAAGTTCAAAGGTGAAGTTAGTACAGCTGGGATCCCGATGAGACTCAGGCTCTCATATTGTCACCACTGTGACAGGGAATGTTGCAAATGTCTGCAGCTAAATGTGTCCACCAAGGTAAAAATAGTCTGTTACTATACTGAGCCATACAGAGGTTAACAGACTCCAACACTAGTGTCAGAGCTTCCTTATTAAAAAAAAAAAAAAAAAGGCAGCAGAAGCAAAACTGGCACCATGTTTCAAAAGGTCCTCTTCATGAGGGGCTTTAAGCTGAAACTGACAGCTTACTTCATGAGTAATTAAATTATATGGTAATACTGTGCAGGTCATTTATAATCCAATAATAAACTCAACTTTTGGGTTGCCAGGTTGTTAAAAATATCTTCTTCTTGTTATGATGTTTGCTGTGAAAAATGCTGGGATGTTTTAAGGCTTATGAAGTCCAATATTCAGTATTCCACTATGTTCACTAGCTGGTCCCTAACTGTGTCTACCTGCTGTTTGCTGCTCAGCAGGTAGTGGACAGTCTCACATTATACTGTTATTTGTATATCCATTATTAAAGGGTAGCTCTGTAAATTTTAAACTGTGTACATTGTGACTGACAGCAGCTACTGTGGCTGCAAGGGGCACCTACAATTAATTTAACTGTGATAAAAGTAATAAAATGTTACTTGAATTCGCTCTGTAAAAAGCTTAACTGTAGTGCAAGTCTGGGACATGACTCTATAATGTTACAAGCCATATCCATCTAAAGTTTGTTAACATTAGTCACCATACGTGATTGGTCATAACAGAATACGACAGGCTGTAAAACCCCTGAGAGCACTGAAACGAGCAGTGGTGTGTTTTACTGCTCATGAATTCAAATTTTCATTTGTAAGAGGAAGAATGTGTTCGTTCAAATGAGCTGATTTTGTCATTATTTTTATATTAACAATGGATCAATTTGTAATGTGAGCTAAGAGTGAGAAACAACTCCTAATGAATGCTAATGTTGCTAATATGTTCATTATAACAACTTCAAGAGGTGACAACATGCCACATGTGTTTACAGCTTGTACTGCGGCCCCCTAGTGGCCAAAAACTTAATTAATGAAGCTTTAATTAAGGGTCATAGGGTCTGCACTTAAAAATGTTGTTGTTGAAACATTTTGAATGAAATGTTTCAACAACCTGATGAAAAAATTGGGTGACTCACTAATAAATGAAAAAGCCAAATATACAAAGCAAGTGTCATGTTAGAGGAGGTTAAAATGGATTTTTCAAAACCTGGCCACCTACAAGTTGTTCTTATTAATAGCTTATAACTGCACTTTAAAGCATTAGTTAATGGCTTTATTAATAGTTAAGTCATTAGTCAGTCCTCTTCACAGAGGATGCCTTGTTGGAAAGTGGTACCACAAACGGATCTAAAATCTAAAAGACCACAGATATATAACATCACACCTACACACATGAATGACAGATGAAACAAACACAAGTCCATGCAAAACACCTTATGTACGTCATTGTCTCAAAGACAAACATCAAAGTTCTCTGAGAGTAAACTCTCTGAGTCTCTGCTTTTGGATGAATTGGTAATAAATATGTCAGCAGAGATTAAACAGTCAGACCAGGAAGAGCTGGAATATAGACAATACCATCCACCAATCAGCTGGCTGCTCTGCTGTGCGTGCGTGCGTGTACGCGTGTGCGTGTGTGTGTGTGCGCCTGTGTGCGTGTGTGCGTGTGTGTGTGTGCGTGTGTATGTGTGTGTATGAGCAGAAGTCTTTTCATATTCCATAATTAACAGAGCTCAGCGCTGGTCTCTTCTTGCCTTTAATCTTCAGAGATCCATAACGAACCTGGTGACAAAATAATGAAAATAAAACACTCAGCATGTGTCATGAGTTTCTGCACAATATGGATGATTTCAAAAGAAATACACAGAACAGTACAAACTCTCTTTTGACTTCTCCCGGACCACCCGAAATAGATATTTTCAAACAGTATGGAGCGGGACACTCACGTCTTTACGGACTCTGGATCGTGAGATCTTGACACTCTGCGATCGTCTCAGTCCTTTCTGACTAACGGCCTCATCCTCAGAGAACGTCGGCTCAGTCTCTTCATCTGTCCTCTCATCCTGGTCATAATAGTACTCTGAAAAAACACAAACAAACACACACACACACACATCAGGAAGAGTGTAACACACACTTTTGATTTTTGTCCTGTCAATGTAAATATTTCAGAGACCATGTTTGGTTGCATTGCTGAGCATAGGTGATGAGAGTTTAACAAGCTGAAAGAAAAAGGATGAAACTGTTGTGGTGTAGCTGTAGATCCATTACAGTGTGAGAAACATTTACAAGCCACTGAAATTAATCATTAGTCAGTTAGTGAATTCAACTAAACAAACAGTTCTATACTTCTGATGTTTCTCTAGAGTTACTATCATTAGCTTATTTTCATTATCAATTAATCCCACTATTATATTCAGAATTTACTCTTTGGTTCATATAATGTCCGATAATAGTGAAAATAAAAATATTTTTCTGAAGTCTAAATTGGCATCTTCTAATATCTTGTTTTGTCCGACTAGGAAAGTCAGTTCTTGTACAGACGACAAAGGAAAGCAGCAAAACCAGTGGACTTTTGACTTTTGCTATTTCAGTTAATCATCTGTTTATAAGCTAATCCATTAATGGACTTATTGTTTCAGGTCTATGTGAGGGTTATAAATACTGTGAATATAGCACTATTTCTATTAACACAAAAAAACAACATATTATATTTAAGTAAAATATATATATGTGTCAGAATTCCAAATATGCAAAGTGCATGACAGTGCAAAGTGTTTTTATGACGTGGATACAGATTGTGAACAATATAAACTTCCACAGGACACACAACACTGGTGATTTGAGTGGAGGGACAGAATATGTTTATGTTCACATACAATCACTAAAGCTGATGGTGAAAAGATTACTTTTAAGAAGATTTGATATAAATTGCTCGTCCAAAACATAAACACCTTCTAGCACCTGCTGGCCAGGAACTGGTTGGCAGCACAGAGAGAGAAGAGAATAAATGTCCAGAAATGATTCATTTTAAAGATTTCATGAAAAATAAACAAATAAAAACAATAAACAATGTAATACATACACAATAAATAACAATAAATACTATAACACTGACAGTTAAACCAGTTAAAATCAGCTGCTTACAGCACATTTGATGTTTTCACCTATGCAGCAGTGAATGAACCTGACAGATGCTTGTTGTGCTGATGATTACAGACTCTGACGACAGGCTTGTGTTGATTGTGTTTTGGGGGGCAGTGTAGAAAGCTGGATTGATTTAAAGTGAGTGTGTAAGTGGCTGGTCCAGCAGAGGTCAGCAGATATTCAGCTGTTACTTCCCTGAGCGGCTCTCATCATAGAAACACAACAGTTAGAAAGGTAATACATAAACCAACACAAAAGGTTACATCCCTGTTTATCCAGAGTCATATAGAATATCAACCATTTGTGTGACATTTTGTCATAATTGCTGTGAGAATGGCTAATAAGTGTTTTGTGAGGTGTCACTGCCCTTGTTACAGAGATTCGTTCAGAAGGCCAAAACCGTGTTTTGTGAAGTAACCACAATCTTGACCTTTGACCACCAAAATCTAATCAGTTCATCCTTGAGTCCTAGTGAATGTTTGTGCCAAATTTGAAGAAGTTCTGTCAAGGTGTCACTTAGATATCGTGTCCATGAGAATGGGATGGATGGACGGACAACATGAAAACATATGCCTCCGGCTCTGGTTGTCAACGGCACGGAGGAATTAAAATATGGAATACTTGGATTTCATGTAAACACGCAACACCTTGTGTCATTTGAGTGACATCTAAGACTACACCACGGCTACTAGTGTTATTAAAGCCCAGTCTGCATTTGAAAAGCACAGTGTTTTCTGTTTGCTCTGGTTCTAATAATGATTGCTGATGTTGTCACATCTGGAGTCAGTAAGAGAAGAGAACACCTCCCATTCTCCAGTGTTGGACAATCTTTCCACCTTTCACCTCCCAGAGGAAAGAGGGTGGGATGAGACTTCAAACTCCAACTCAAGAACAAAAGCACCATCTGAACACTGTTTGTGTTGGCTGGATGCTAATTGCCACAACAGGACAAACACATGAAGGAGTTTAGTCCTGCTATTTAAACAGCCTTGAAGCCAGGCTGTTGAATGTCCCCAGCCTGCAGCTGCCAAGTGCTGTCTGAGGAGGACACCAATGCCTTACTCCTACATTCACACTCTAAAATAAAGAAGCACAGGGACAACATGTTACAGCAATGTTCCAGGGTTTCATTTTCACAAAGCTCATTAAACATTTTCTACCAGTCATTCCAGCCACTATCAACCTATTCTGTGGTAAAACTTTCCAATTTCCTGTCACGTATGGAGCCGAAGGCTTTATTAAACAGTTCTGGCCAGAGACTTTGGAATTTGGAAGTTCTTCTAGCAAAAGCACTGCCTCATACATAAAGGAGACGAGGTTTGGTATCTTTATTTTTTAGGATATAGTAAGGGGTACGTGATTTTTTTTTTCTTTTGACAGTTCCTGACATGGTCTCCAAAGTCATAAAATATATTCTGCTAATCTGCTCATGTTTTGTGAATTTGAATTGTTCCTACACCAGCAAATCCAGTGAGATCCCACCACATCTCATCTTATGTGGCCTTTAATGACAGATAAAACTAAGCTGCAGAAGACAGAAGAGTTTTGATGATAAAAACAGCAACAAGAAGCTTTGAAACATCGCTTTGGGCTCTGGGAACTTATTAATGCTCAATCTGCGATCTAATAACCCCTGTTAAATACTCGATTGATTCAAGTGTATTAAATGACGATGTGTAATGTCGGTCCAACATTATTTGTGTATCCTTAAAACCAACATTGTGTTCTACACTTTCTGCCTTCCCTGCTCTGTCTGTGGCTCTCAGCTCTAAAAGCACTGAGAATGTAAATCTTTAAAAACACCTCACAAATATATAGTTTCACTTTTTAAAAAGGCTCAGTAATTTTCTAAAACAGCTGCTCACTGTAGTTTTTAGACTACGTTCACATTGCTACGTTTCCATATTAATGTACTGTATGTACATACCTGAGCAATCATGTACACTGAGCACGTGCAAGCCGACGTAAACAGGAAGAAGATTTTCTACTCTGCAGCTGATTAGTTGCAAAAATACTCTGAACAAGGAATAGCAAAGACACCTTCAGTGTTAAAATGAAGACTGACAACACGGTCAGTAACACTTGTAATTCATCATCATGTTGTATTCAACACTGGTAGTCGTGGCCGATGAGAGCCAATCAGGAGTGACTGTGGGTGTCTACATCATCATCTCCAAACGTCTCTGTTTTCACCCGTCCAGACTACAACACAACCCCAGAGTCTTCAAACTAAAACGGGGCCCGCAGCCTTTCCAAAAGTCTGTTTTCTGTGCTCGAAAACACCGGAGTCGTGTGGACGGGAGGAGGAAACACAGCAAGAGAGATGCATTCTAAAACGATAACATAGTAGTTTGGACGTAGCTTAAGAAGTGTTACTCAAACAGGAGGAAATAGTGCATTTGTTGGGGACTATTTTTAGCAGTGGACTGATCTACATTTGCTACTGTAATGAGTATTTGGGGCAGCAGGACAGTGTTTGTAGGACTGAGTTGAAATAAACTAATGTGTGTTCATAAGCCAGTGCAACAGTCTGGCTCACTGATGTGTTTTTAACAGGGAACAATGGAGCTCTATGGCTCAGAGGAATCAGAGGATATTCATTGTTGGTTTGGCTCTGCACTTGGGATTTAATTAAAGGTCTAATTTCCCTGTCATGACACAGGAATTTACATTTAGACAACTCAACTAGTCTAAAAGCAAGAAAACAAATCAGAAAACAAAACTGAGCACAATTTAGTCTGCAGTAAAACAATGTCATACTGGTTTGCCAAATGTGGCTAACATTAGCTGTAGTGGCGCTAGCAGGACTATATTTCATAGTATGCACCAGAACCGCCTGTCTACTACCTTTGGGTTTCCCAAAAACGCACATATGCCTATTGAACAGGCGAGGGAGGGAGGGAGTGAGAGAGAGAGAGAATGATTCCTGTATTTTAGCGCTAAAGCAAAGACTAAACACCACAATAAAACTCGGATTAGCCTCCTACCACATGCATTTCAAAGACCAACCAACAGGCCTTAAAAACAACAACAGCAGCTAAATAACAGCCTACAATATACTCTTACATAATATGTTGAATATTCCCCAAGAAACATGCAGTAAAATCAACATTAAGCAGCAGATTCCCTCATTTCGCATCATCATCATGAGAACAGTTGCTTCACTAACTACTAAAGAAAGTAATTACAATATGCAGCAGCAAGACCAAACCAAGCTGCTACAATAAACAATTACAAGACACATGAGACAATAAAATGAAATAGTATTCTTGCCTGTTTGAAGTTCATTCTACGTCTGAACGTTAAATCAAACTCTTGCAGAACGGCCTCTGCATCAATTCCAATATCATGATGGATGTTCATCAGTGCTCCACATCAGCAGTGTCAACACTGGGCATTAAAGCCCAAGACTCATAACGTTAGTGAGTGGATGCAGCCACAAAATAAGACAGGATCTCCTGTTGCTACCATTTTTATTTTGAGATCCTAAAAAAACAAATGCAATCATTAAAAAATGTACGCACAGTGCATACAGGATTACAGCTGGCGGCACTTATTAGTTGTGCTAGCACCAGCTGCCCTCTCACTTCGCAGGCTAAGGCCGGGAACACACTGGATGCATGGCGTGGGCATGGCAGCTGAGGAACGTGTTGATTTGCGTTTAGAGATTCAGCCTCTCAACTATTTTTCAGCTTGCAGCGTGCATCTCCCGGCAGAAACAGACTGAGAAAAGAACTGTTGATGTCATATTGACATCATAGCAGCAAAATTACATCAGCCTGACACCTTCCACTATAGTTTCTATGTCTAGGCTGAATGTAAACATGACACAGACATGACAAAATATAAATATATTTTTTAACCATTTTAGCTGCTGTATGTGGTTTCTACCAAAAATAAATCAGAAATGAATTTGTAATGAAAAGAAATCCAACATTCTAGTAACCTGCAAACTCTATGTAAAGAGATAGAACTGCAGCAGAGACACAGCCGGTGTGAACACACACACGTGATTCTCAGCAGCAGTTCAGTAACGTCCGCCATGCCTGTGCTGGATGTGGTTACACTTTGCTTCAGTCAAGTGGTTGTATGCCAGTTTATTCTGACAGTCAGCATACAACCTTATTTTCATTTTCTAGATTAAAATCCTGCCAGCTGTAGCCTGTCCCACTCTCCACCCTGCTTGTCTACAACATCTGGGCACTAGGGCGGGAAGAGGGGGGCTGCTGTCTGCAGGGGCTGCAGCTCCAGCTAGTGGCAGGCAGCTGCGTAACATCTTAGATGCAGCAGCCAGTGCCATACATTAATAGAATATTAATAATTGTTTACTTGACTAATATTCTTTTGCTGACTAGCGAGGGCAGCAATGTTTGATTGTTCAGTCAACTAATGGCACAGATCCCTACTCTACACAGTGACACAATACAGAATATCAGCAGTTATCCTTTGAGTCACACAGTTTGTTTAAACAAACAATCACCTGTAGAAATCCATTGCTGCCTGAGAACAGAGGAGCTCCAATACGACCACTGCAGGGTATGTGATGTGAAAACTTCTCACAGCAGTGAGGAGCGTATGAAAGAGAGCATCTCTCTTCCCTTCATCTCTGTGTCTCTCTGCTGACTGGCTGAGCTGAATACATAATGCACTCTTCCCTCTCTCAGTATGCTAATGTTGTCTACCAGCCTTCCTTTCTTCAATCCATCCACCTCTTCTTCCAATTCACTCCTTCTCAATTCATCCCTTACATCTCCACTCTCCTGCTATACTCATCTGTCTTCCACTCCTACCCCCTACTCTCTCTCTCTCTCCATGCCTCACTGACTGGCTGTGTGTGAGAGAGTATGTGTATGAGTGTGAGATAGACAGAAAGAACAGAGAGTGTGTGTGTTTGACATTCCACTGGCATCGCACTGAACCTCATCTCATCTCCTCTGTCTGTGGGGAAGTCAACTCACTCACTCACTCACTCACTCACTCACTCACTCACTCACTCACTCACTCACTCACTCACTCCTTCAGAGTGCTTTCATTGTAATGTCTGCAAATTCAGTCTTATATACTTAAAAATAGACTTTAATGGACATGTGGTAAAATGTAAGTGAAGGATAAAACTGGTTAGCTGGTATCAGGTCCCACCAAGCAAGAAATGGATGATGGAGGGAAAGAAGGAAACAAAGACCAACAAAGAAACATAAAATGCTGAATGAAAAGTTGATGTTGTGTTGACGTGTTGTGGTTGTGTTGTGTCACATTATGTCTGTGAGTCGAGCCTGACCGAGTTATGACTCTGAGAAGAAGGAATGTGAGTTTTCAAGGTATGTTTGGGGTTTCCACACACTTTTATTTAGCCCCTTTCAAATTGGATAAAAAACCTACTAACACTTGCTAACATCTGGCTTTTGTCGTCAGTGTAAAAGGGTAAAATTGGTATTTATTCCGCAGCCATGAAGTCCTCCATCTCCATTCAGGCAGCGAAGTACTGACTGAAGTACTTGGTGCATGTCATTTCTTTGTTGTAAAGCACTTTGAGCTGCATTTTCATGTATGAAAGGTGCTACACCAAAAAAGTTATTTATTACAAAAAGTATTACTATTATTATTATTATTATTATTATTATTAAGTAATGATACATATAAAAATAAAATACAACTGCTGTAACAGAGTCACTGGCCTCCATGCTGCTTTCTACTGTTTACTAACCCCGTTATCCAGCATGACATTAGACATGACGCATGAACGTGGCAAACTCGTCCACTGGCAATGGGAAAATCAATCACCTTTGTTTCCCTGTGTTTAAAAAAAACATGCATTTATGTGTTAATTACTGAGCTTCTAACCAAGGGAGCCTGAGAGCTCCCCCACATCCACAAGTACAAGCTTACTGGTCATTCCTAAATCTAGCCTGAAGACTAGGGGTGACCTGACTCAGTGCCACAGGACTCTGGAACAACCTGCACGATGTTCTCAGGTCAGATATTTCCAGCTTTTGTACAGTTCAACATTTTTTATTGCTTTGATGGGTTGTCAGTAATAAACTTCATCCATTAAGGAAAACTGTGAAATGTGGTTGAAAGCTCCAAACAAAAGCTACTTCCAAGGTGACAAACAAGTTTTTGAAAGTGTTCTCTGAAACCATGTAATTAGTGATCAGACGCACTATCAATACTAACAAGAAAATATTTCTCTGGACTCAACAAGCAGTCATGAAAAAAGTCCAATATTTTATAAGCACATGCAGGCACATTAGTGTGTGTGTGTGTGTGTGTGTGTGTGTGTGTGTGTGTGTATACCTGATCCATCGGCAACATCACTGCTCTGAGATCTCCTCATGGCGGGGTTGGATGAATGGGAGCTGTACTGGTACAGTGGGTTTCCTCTGTCGTCCTGCTGGTTTATCTGTGTCAGGTCATGCATACTGAGGCTCCGAAGCTTCTCTGTGATGGCACCCTGACCCTGTCACGCACACACACACACAAACACACACCAATCAATATTATATCACTAGCAAACCGCAGTTCAAACACAATAGGACACAAACCAACAGAGTGATGAAGTGAGTGAGTGTTGAACACAACCTCAGACTTCTTCCCTTAACACCTACAGAGTGGCGAGTCCAGTGTTTCCCAATCAATCTCTAGAGGCCGTTTGGAGTGAGGTGGGATTTTTGTTGCAGTTGAAAAATCCCAACTATTGCTTATTTAAGACACAAGTACATGATTGTCAGTAAGTCTGTTTTGTTGTATGCGACCATCTTCAAATGTCTGGCCTACTACTATACAACTAAACTACTGAATCTGTTGGCCACATTTGATTGGATGCAGCTTGAAACCAAAGTAGAAGCATTTTGTGAGCTGTAAGGGATCATGACCAGAAGGCATCACAGACCTGGGCTGGGGCAATAATATAATATGGAGGATTAGTGCCACTGACATACACCAACCAGCCACAACACTAAACTGGTAACTGGTTTTAATGTTGTGGCTGATTGATGTATACATACAGTATACATTTACAGTACATCTCAACCAAATCCAGTTGCCCTCCATTCAACCCTTGTCGATTAACCACCCACCTGGATGACTAAGAATTCACAGACACCCTTCTAAGTCAAGTTTTCACTTTGTCACTATGGATTAATGAGTGTAGACTGGGGGGAATTAAATCTATAACATAATAAAGTGAAGGGGTCAGAATACTGAAGTCACTGCAAGTAAATGGTCTACATACTGTACTGTTTCACTTTCTATGACTGGTATACAGCTCTGATGTCTGTCACTTCCCTGTCAGTGACAGTCCTGCAGACACTTGGTGATATGACTGTGCCACAGTCAGAGAGAGTTTGGTACCAGCAGAGCATCATCGTCCACTCAGCTACTGGAACAGTTCACTGCGGCTGCCTTACAGAGCATTTCTACAAATTATAAAGTCCAGTTACACTGAACTTCTGTGTTTTGGCTCAGCTTTCCATCACAGCGGTCACACTACTGGAAAAGTGAATGCTGTCCTGCCATTGTTTTTTGTCAGGAAAATAATCAACAATATGTATGATACAGATTTGTAAGCATGATCTCAGTTGTAGAGAAATGTTCATTTACTTTACAAATGATTTAACCTGTTATAAACTGATAAAGCAGATCCATAAACCTCAAACAAAACTCAGCTTCTGTTGTCCTGCTACAGTGGACACACCTAAGTAGGAATTTAGGCTCTTTAGTCTTGTCACACAGCTTTTCTTTCAGTTCCACAACTGCAAAACTAACCATCTACAGTAAGACACAAAACTGTGGGGCAGAATTACTGTGATATGGCAGATGGATTGGTAGTGACTGGCTGGCAGATCATCAGGTGTGTGAACCAGATAAAAATGTAATTTTGCAACACTGATCTTTGAGGATGTCATCATTTAGAGATGTGCAGGGGAGAAAGACCTGTCTGGAAGTTTAAAGATAATAACATCAGACTATAACAACATGTACAGTGAAATACTGGAGTATTGAGACCAATTTGTAAAATATCATGGCTAATACTGTTAATCATTGGTATCAGATCAGCCAATTCAAAATTAATTAGTGAACAAGTTGTCCCTATAAAGCCTGACTGGTACACACCTAATAGTATAGGATGACTAAAATACACAAAAATGTCAAATATGATACACTGAGTTCATGTAAACTACTACAAATGGTATGATCATTATGGATATTACTGACAAGGAACCTTAATTCGACAATGATAAAGACGTCATCATGGACACAGTTCACAAAATGAGACCATCAACAGGACAAAGGGAGAGAAAAAAATAACTGAAGAGATTTTTGATCAAAAATAAAGGAAGTCAAAAAGAAACAGGAAGAATATGTTGAGTGTTATAATGAAATGAAAGTTTAAACAGAGGAGAAAAAAAACTTTACAGGAATATAAGGAATATAAATGAAGAATTGTGAGATTGTAAATCTTGGGTTGATTCTTTATTACTACTCTGAGAAGAAGGTGGAAATAACCACTTAAATGTATTATCAGCTACTAGCGCTGGTGAAAGAACAGAGATGGATGGGGGACATGGTCGAGTGATGCTGCTGTGAAATGGCAGAGAAACACTGTCAAACATGCAGCTTACACTGACTGGTTTTTACCTCCCAGAGCAGCCTGCTGACACACAGAAACCCTGAAGAAAGAAGGATGTCAGTACAGAGAGAGAGAGAGAGAGAGAGAGAGAGAAACAAAGTCACAAGAAGGTTAGCTAGAAAGCAAGCTGGGGCAGATCCAAACATCATCATTATCGTAACCAACAAAAATGAGAAACTATACAGAGTGGCTTTCAGTCTGTCTAAAGTCAGAGCACATGTCAGTTAGACACTTAGAGCAGAGGAAGTTCAGCAGAAGTGATACAGTTTCCCACTAATTACCTGTGGCCCTGATGCAATACACTTCTATACTCTGTTATCATCATTGGCAGGAGAACATTACTCTTACAAAAGTGCATTGCACTGGGAATCATCCTTAGGCATGATGCAGGCAAGTAGTCAGCAAGTGTGTAACTGCAGGAGAGGATATGCATGCATGCATCTGGTATGTTTTTGTTGGTATGACAATGTACCAATGAAGCTGTGGGAGTCTGAGTTAGATATACTGTACTCAGTTCAGTTTGGGAGTAAAGCCATGCATCTTAAAGACAGACTGGGGTTTAAGAACATGAACTTTCCATTACCACTTCTGACCACCTTTCAATACCAGTGGTGAACTCAAATACAAGCCCAATAACATTGCAGGACAGTGTTGTCTCTGCATTTTAGGTAGGCACAGGTGAAATATTGTATCCCATAAACACCCCAAAAAACTGGAGAACCTTGCTCCTAATGTGGGTAAATCCAAACTTACTTAAAAGGTAAGTTTTAAGAAAAGTGTCTAAAGAAAACATGAAAGTTGTGAAAATAATAATGGGATTTTTTTCAGGAGGGCAGCCTACTCACAAATGTTGCATGTCAATGTTATCTTGAATACACAACAAGACTTTTCAGAATATTCCTTGCTTGTGTTATCATGCTATATATACACATCTTGGAAACCTGTGGAGACCAAGGACTGTTTTTGGCAAAACGTATTTGAACTGGAGCATTTTGATTCAGACTCAGCTCTTGTTGACATGCTCTCTTCTGGGGTGTACTCCATCGGCTGTGGACATCACCAGACATGAGTTTCTGCACAGTTACCGCTCACAGACCAACAACAGCAACAGTTGAAGAAAGCAGTAAGAATAGAAATGTTCAAAACCCAGTCTGTTTCTTCACACCTGCGGAGACTTTATAGATGCAATTTAAAAGGGCCTCAGGCTACATGCACATCAATATGCATGAATGCTGCATGCATAATGAATCATCTATTGCATATACTGGCCTTGAGTGAGTCTCAGGAGTTTCTTATTTAATAAAAGCACATGCTAAAAAGGCTGATTACCTGAGATACATTTGTAAAACAAAACCACAGCACCACTCTCTGCTTCAATCTTTCAAAGTGCTCTCTGAAATGTTTGGTTTAGACTGTCAGGTAGATTCTTACCGAAACCCGGTATCAAACAAAACCCGCGGCTAAATTTTTAAAGACTAGAGTATCGATAAGCTTGGGCATTATCGGTTCTGCTTTCTGTACTTGAGAAATTAAGAAAATAAATTTCCTGTTTATTATTGCGACATAAAAGTTCTCTTGCGCATTCTATCTCACCAACTCTGTTTCTGATTAAGACATTCGTCTATGAATGATGCATTTTCACTGTTCCCAACCCAGAGGAGAGACCTCTCTCTCTCTCTCTCTCTGTGTGTGTGTGAGGGGCAGGGGCAGCTTTATGTCATACGCCAGAGCACAGTGCAGCACAGAGACACAGACTCTGCTCTTAGTGTCAATGGCAGAGAGAGCTAAACGTTTTTTAGTGTGGTTCAGTCTTTCGCATGTAAGAGCGGAAACATGAGTGATCTCTGGAAACATCCAGTGAAAGTCTGTTACACACTGACGGAAAAATGTACAGTTCACAGTTTTCGACCGACTAGCTTGCAGTTCATCCATCGTTGTGTCATGCGTGCTCTGTATGCTGTAGCCTGGAGCCACACACAGTAAATTAAATTATATAAACATGGGTTAATGATGAAAACTAACCAATAGCCATCTGATTGTTATGGGCACGTTCTTTGAGAAAATAAGCAATGTTAATTCTGTTCATCATTTGTTTTGTTTTTTTCTTACAAAATGACAAAAACAGACGGATTTTATGTGCAATAAAGCTGGTTTTATTTTCTAGGAAAGGTTAATCACATTGCAACTAAAAGATGAAATGCTTTTAAAGGATGTGTAATTGAACTGTGACCTTAAACTGTTGTGATAAAACACAGAGGGCAAGGAAAGAAGAGAGACACAGGAAAGACAAGGAGAGGCAACACAAATAAAGGGAGAGGGAAGACAGGAAAAAAAAAGAGTGTTCAGGCAGAGAAAATAAAAATAAAAAGAGAGACACCAAGGTGTGGTAGAGAGAGAGTATGAGACTACAATGTGTAACAGAGAGGTGTAGCTTTGAAGCAGTGATTAATAGCATGTTTAATGTAAGCAGAGACTGGAGGGGGTTTACCAGGCCCAGGCTCATGTTACTAAGCGCACATACATTACACTCAAGTTAGAGGTACAGCCAACTGTGTCTTAGTTCACACAGTCACACCCTTGGCATTAATCCTTCTGATCCACATCCCCTTTGTTCCAATATATACACAACCAAGTCATTCATTTTTTCAGTGTTTTTATTAGAGAAGAGTCTAAACAGAGGTTTTTTTATTGTCTAAAGTAGGAGCACAGAACACTGTGTGGCTTAACTTAAGGCCAACACAAACTAACTGAAGTAACAGTGGCTCAGTTATTTGATAGTGAGCCAGAGGACATTAGTCATTAAACAGAATAAATACAATTTCCTGTCTTGTGGCATTTTAGTTTTTCCTGAGACTTCTCAACGGCTCTGCTGACTCAAAGACTGAGGCTACATTCACACTGTATCTCTGTTATGATCGGGTTTTTGAAGTATCTTGTTCATGTGGATGCACATGCATGGTTTACTTGCTGCGTGGAGCGGCCGATCTAAGTCAGCATAAGCAGAACGTGCTGCTTTGTGAGCTGAAATTAAGCGTGAACCACTGAGTACTACTGCATCAAGGATACGAGTGCACATGAAGAATGAAATTCTGCTGAGACATACATCATCTGAAAATATATCAAATGTTGCATGCTCCCTCCTGATTCTCAGTCCTCTCTGTCATATTTTGTCCTGTTTAAAAAGATTATTACAAACTTTTTTCAACTTCTTCCACTGGCTTTATTAATTTTTTATTTTGCCGTTTTTTAAACCTTGCAACCAATTTGCTGTCACATGTGATCCTGATAGACAGTGTGAAGTTAGACAGTAAAGCTGGATCCAATTCAGACACTTTATTGTCATGAGCATGAAAATGTTGCAGAGACATGTGCAGAAAAATAAAAGCTGCCTCAGCCAACATAACGTTAGAAAGCCTTTTTCAGAACCTACGTTCCAAATCAAAAACAGCAACAGCAACATTAAATTTTTTTTCTTCAATAATAAAAAGATGTATTTTTTAGTGTGCAACAATTATTCAATTAATCAATCAGCAACTATTTTGATATTTGCTTAACTATGCAGGTAATTTTTCCAGAAAATAATTGCTGTTTTCAGTCTTCTGTTTTTTCTCTTTTATATGTCATTATACAACAGTTAGTTCCAACCAAGTAATTTGATTGGACGAGAGTCATTCCATGAGTGCTGATATAGAGTACAACAGCACTGGGACTTTCAACTACATGTATCACTCCGCTTCACAGGTGTTCTATTAACCGTTAATTAGCGTCACATTAACGGCTGTTAACTATCTTAGATTGTAACAAACTTTACAAAGATGAAAATATTTCCAGAAATTACATTTGAATTCGATGATGTCTGATCGTCAGGAGAGGATGAAGGAAGAAGTCTGGATACTTCAGCACACACCTGAGGTAACGTGTAGACAGAGTAGCAAGCGAGTGTGCACTGTGCAGGTCAGGAAAATGTTTATGTGTTGCTTAGCAACAGTCCAGTACCAGTTCAGTTGTGGAACTATTTGTGTTGGTATAGCCAAATATATGATAATAACAAATCATAATCTGTGGTTGCTTATCTAACCAATATGGTGCTCACAGAACTGTTGTATAAAAGCTGATGTTGTACTGAATATCAGCACAGCTGTGATTTGGTCATAGTTACGAGGCTGCAGACCCAAGACAATCACTCCCTCTCGTGTAATATTGCTTAAGTAAACTGAATATCTTTGGGCTTTGGACCTTTTGACATATGAAGACGTCATCTCGGATTCCAGAAAACAAGAAGTTTCACTGTTTTTTTGACACTTTATAGTCTAACAATTAATCTACGAAATAGTCAGCAGATTAAGCAATAATGAAATTGCAGCCCTGTTGTTTTTTTGCATCTTTCAGATTTCACTGAACATATAATAATAATAGTGACTCATGAAACCAGTATCATGTATCAAGCTAAACCATATCTATGTTAGGTGGCTTCAGCTGTTTGTGTGGACCTGACAACCCTATATTATTAATTCTGTTTAGTGGTGGATTCCCACTGCCTGGGATTAGTCCAGTGCAGTGAAGCCTGATTCAGGAGATCAGCGTGGATTATCTGATACACTCAGGTGTTCACACAATGCTGAATAACCAACTAAACACACTTCATGTACACTAACTCTGCAATGAGTGGGAGCTGAAGGTCAACACAGCCCTTTAGAGACACAAACACTGAGGATACATTTGCTTGAGCAGCGTTCCAGATACTGTATCATATTCAAGATGTTATTCAGGATTGGCTGCTGTGTTTAATGCGACGCCTGCATTAATTTACACACTAATGGCCCTATTTCTGTCCATGTTCTCTCAAGTGGAATCAGAACATTCTGTGGCAACAGGTTGAATTTGGCGAAACGATCTGCTGGATTACTGTGCAAAGCAGGTAGAGGGCGCTGTTGTATCTAAGCAAAGGAAGCTGAAGATTTCACAGCATCTCACAAAGGCAGATCCTGCTCAGTGAGGACGGGGAGAGGGGGAGGGAACAGGAAGCACTGGGACTTATGGGAGATGTCTCAATTTGATGAAATACTACAAGAGATGCAGTTCAAACTGCTTCAACCAAGCTGTTGTTGCTGTTTTTGGTCTACAAAAAGGTATCTTAAACCAACTGATAACATACAGCACATTACTGATGAAAATAATCAGTAAAAGCAGCACCTTTGAAAGAATATCAAACAGAATATTTAGTGCTGAGAGAAGCCAAAGACACTTGCCTTGACAGCTGCAGTGACAGCAGCGGTGGCTGCGATGCTCAGTCCCTGCTTTCCAAAGTTCACCATGGTTTCATAGCTTCTCTCTTTGGCCTGGACGATATACTCATCTATTTCCTGGAGGCAGACGATCAATAACACAACAGTGTGACTATAATAGTCTCAACAACAAATAATCCATGTACACAGACGAAGATGTGGATGGATGGATGGATGGATGGATGGTCTTACCCTCTCTCTGGAGGACAGCAGAGGGTGCAGACACTTTCTGTAAATGAGACTTGCTCCTCTGGTGTAGGGTGCTAGTAGCCAGATCACAAAGGCTATCTTCAGCTCGTAGTACAGGGGAAACCTGGAAATGTGCAGGCACACAGGGAGCATCCCAACATTAATGAGGGTTGATATTAACTTGTTAAGTCTTAGTCCTTTTCCACTACAGGAAGACATGTAACAAAACATGTAGGTACGGTTGGTGCTATTACACAGGGATGTTGTATGAATGGGCGGCTGCCATTGCTGGACTGCTGCGGAGAAACATGTATGTGTTCACACACCGGCTGTGTCTCTGCTGCGTCTCTGTTGCTGCTGCTCTGTCTCTCTACATAGTTTGCAGATTACTGGAATGTTGTATTTTTTTTCATTATTAATTAATTTCTTATCTAAATTTAGACAGTAAACGTTAGTAAAGTGTCACTGTCTCGACATGTGGCTGCTAAAATTGTTAAAAATATAAATTTATATTTTTTCATGTCAAATGTGTCAAATTCAGATTCAGCCTAGACATAGAAAACTATGGTTGAAGGTGTCAGTTTTGTGTAATGTTGCTGGTATGATGTCACTGTGACATCAACAGGTATTTTCTCTGTTTGTTTGCTGCAAAACGCATCACACGTGAAAAATACGCAGCCACGAGGCGTGAGACGCATGTCCCACGCAGGCAGTGTTCCTGGCCTGACCCAGATGCTGGAAGGTAGAGAGGTTAGACAGAGGCCGCCATGAGTAAAAGACATACGACAGCCTGCTGGACAAACAACATTTAAAGGATTTTCTAATTCTAAAAACATGTTTTCACTTTATCATTGTGCATAATGGGAGGAGGACTGATGGGCAAAATGTCAATTTTGTTCGATGGCAATTAAATCTACAATATAATATAATCTGAAAAACTTGAAGGGGTCTGAATAGCTTCTGAAGCCACTGTTTGCAGTGACTGGTTGTCATGTTTGTGTCACTAAATGGCTTCAGATTATCCCTCCCGCTAAGAGGATGTCTCAACATCCCCACACTTTAAATCTTTGCGTAGAGGTGATCAACATCAGCATATTGTTTGAGGTTCAGTTCACATAGAACGACATCCACCAGTGTTTGAGTGTGTGTGTATGACCGAGGTGTAAGGTGAGGTTATGGTTATGGTTAGGTGAGTGGTTGGGATGTGTTAACGTTGGCTTCAGGTTTACTGAAGGGGAGATTCTCCATCAATGTATATATGTGTATCTCTATGTCTATCATGTTGTCATGAGTATGAAAAATATTATCATTGCCACTTTTTCCATTGTGGTCCACTGATGTATGACATGTATCTGAAATATTACAGTTTGTAAAATACAGTGGAAACACACAAAAAACCCCATACCAAAGTGTAGGTTGGGAGAAGCTCCAGAAAAATATCTGTACACATTCATCCAGCTGCCATCCTCATTACTGCAAGTCCATTCTAATTACATTAGTTAACACTGAAATTTCAATTACCAACATATTTCATATAAACAAGTAAATTTCCATTCGTAATAGAAACAGCATACCACCCCCCCTACAAGTAGTCATCATCAAAACATAGAAAACACAAACAACAGGGCGGTTGAACTTTAGAAAATACTTAAAAGACACTGATATGAGACTGTGTGCATTTGTTTTTGTGTGAAACTCACCATGCCAGTGTAAGGTCAGTGATTGTCTCCACCACAGTGTAAAGGGCAAAAACAATCCAGTACATCATCCATCGCACCTAAACAGGGACGACAGTGAACCATGAAGCTAGACTGAGACATTTGTACTGATCAGCTGATAGCTAACAAGAAACTGCAGAACCACAATACCAAACAAAGGCATTTAGTATCTGTAAACTGTGTCACCATTACAGAGAGAGTGCTAACAAGTTTATTTTAACATTGTAAAATGTCCTGTTCAGTCTTAGTCACAATTTGTCACTATTCTAAAAGAAAAAAAATCTGAATTGTAAAAGAAACCTTTTTTAAACCTTTTTTAAAATCCAGCATTGGACTGTCAACACTGAACAACTTTTTTAAATTCACTAATATTTTAGGGGCATTGTTAATTCAGTAATGCAGAATTTCACCTGTCCTACAATTTGATGAAAAAAGCTATGTAAACTTATTGAGCTAATGACCCTATTAATAAAAGATGTCTACATTTCTCACAAGAACATAACATCATTCTTGGGAATTAAGTTATATTTGATTCCACCCTGCCACCTTTCGTGTCAGCTGTTAGAAATGAGGTAAGAAAATCAAATTGCAGAAACTGAAACACTTTGCTATTCTTATATTTGTCTTTAGCAAAACCACTCAAAGAAATTTCAGATTGAGCAGAGCTGCTGCAGGCTGGGAAAATATAGGAAACACATGACTGTTTTAGTAGAGTTGATGCAGTGCCTATTGTTCTACTATCCCTGTTCTGAACTGATCTATCAAGTGCACGTGGTCATTATGGTGAGTGCTTAAGGAATTTAATAAATGAATTGAAGCCACTTTTACACTTGGTAAGGCCAAAGTGTTAGATAATCTGAGGCTTATCTGGTTCTTCTACTTCCTTCTCTTTTCCTTCTCCTTTAATACTGCACCATGTCCCCTCTCAGGCCAGTAGTACTGAGGCTTGGATTTTATATCAGTTTGTTTTTATGCTCTCTGTTGTCCTCCCTGCTCCCTTGTTCTCGCAGTCCCTCTTTAAGGGTTTTCCATGCACTTTTGGCTGGATTTCCATATCAAAGCCAGTGGTAGACGGTGGCAGGCAGACAGTCACATGGCAGGCTGAGGTATTAGCCAGACCCGTCTGCAGCCACATGACTGAACACACACTGACACTAGCTAATGAAATGTCAACGTGTGTGGGTGTGTGTGTGTGTGTGTGTGTGTGTTTGTGTGTGTGTGTGTGTGGAGAGAGATAGAGCGAGAGAGTAAAGAGTGTGTGTTTGAATGAGTGAGAACACCAGAGAAGGACAGTGAACACAAACACACAGACATTCACCTGTCTCACAAGCACAAACTCACACATGCTGTATATCTCACATTAGGTAGACACTGTTCACACACAGACACATTGCACTCTCTCTCCACTGCCTGCACCATTACTGCTGGACTGGTTAATTGGTGACCTCATCATGAACTCCCTCCGCACTCACACACAGACTCATGGGAATGATAAATGTAAAGGAGAGTGTGAAACAGAGAGCCAGTGAGCTGGACATCTAATTTATATGTTTCAATCTCCTTCTGCCTCCACTGCTTCTGTCTCTCTTCTACCTCTGCCTTTCATCTTCCACGTTATACCCTTTTCTCTCCCTCTCTCTGTCTCTACCAGCATTTTTTCTCTTTCCCTCCCTCCTTCATCTCATCAGTAGGGAGGACATTAAGACATGACCTCAGTGAAATATACAGCAGCCATTTGCCTTCCTGAGGCAATAGCAGACATTTACTGGCCCTGTCTATGAATAACTGCCTCCCATTAAAAGAGAAAGAGGAAAAAAACACCTGACTTCAGCTCTCTGCAGCCAGTGGACCGACTGGTAAAGCTAAACTTGGTGGAAAGAGCATGGTGATGGAGCCAGGCAGCAGTCGAGACATATACATGCTATAGCCCCAGCAGCTGACAAGTTTGGTTCAGAGTCATTCTAAATGACTTTATATTGTTAGGGTTGGTGTTTTGTTTAAAAATTTTGATGTGAACACTCCCCGACTCCCACACCGCAGTGAACATTGTCTGTGCTCATTAATGTTCCGAGTATAGCTGGCACTTTGGCATCTGAGTCAGTCCTGAAGCAGAATCTGCCTGAAGAATAAGACAACGTGTTTCAATTGTCACACAAAAACACTGTATACACAATCACTTCCTGCAGCACTGACATCACAGGCCATTGGACAAGTCTGCTCAAGTTAGAATGGGATGCAGACTGTTTAGCAGAGAAGCCCATTTGTCTGTAACAGAGCGAAACAGCGTAGCCTAGGGGTCGCCTAGCTTTAACTACCCCCATTCAGCACTTTATCATTCCTGTGTCAGCAGTGAAGATGTAGCAGACGGAGAGTGAGGGACAGTACACAGCAATGTTACTTCTAACTGGGTGGTGTCAGTCCTGTTAAGGAGGTATAGAAGAATGGGATTCATCTATAGCCCCTTTTACAGTGGACAAAAAGCCTGCATTCACTCCCAGGTGAAATGAATCTGCAGTAGTCATAAGTATTTATCAGCTTCAGCTGAAAACATGACACACACGGGTGAACACACTAATTTTCACCCCTTTTCTGTACATTCTAAACAGATCTGTCAACTTGCCCAGTACAGCACTGTTACACCAGAAACACCACAGCTACTTCCTCCACTGAGAGTGGACTGCAGCCCTCATAATCATTTTAAAAACACACAATCACCAAAGCTTCTCACATGCAGGCTCAGACACTTACAGCAGCAGCAACCTGGGGATGAGACCCGACAGACCCATTTTACTAGTCTGCACAGCAGCTTACAGCTCACTCTTTGAATCGGTGAAGATGTTCCCTCCCCTGTGTGTGCTTTGTGACTGCATGTGACAATGTTGATCCATGCAGCTGTATGTCTGTGTCTTCTCAGTCCGAACAGGAAGGCAGTGTGAAACGCCTTTTTTGTGGGTTCACCTGCGCTTAAAAAAGACTGCTTATACCTGCTAATTTGGTGAAAGAAGGGAGAAGAGGTTGTTTCAATCACTGGTTTCACTTTTCTTGAAGGTGAGAATGTTCAGCATGTCAGCATGCACCCACATGTACTGTATGGACACATGTCCACACAGAAACACAGACACTAAAGTAATAAAATCAAGAGAAAGAGGGCTGGGCCTCTGGAATGAATTTACAAGCCAACTTTGTGATGAACTAGAGTAACCTCTGGCAGGGTATGCTGCAACTCGAGTCACATAAAAGAAGCTACAGGCAATGGCCAACTGTAAAAGAGCTATTATCTTAATGTAACGAACTCAGTGTATGCTTAAACTCCTTAGTATATGTGCTTGGGAGACAAAGAGATGAATAGTACCATCTGTATGGTGAAGAATGGTGGGGGCAGCATCATGCTATTTCTCCCTGGTTAGAACTGAGGGAAGAATGAATGCAGGCAAATACAGAAAGGTCATTGAAGAAAACCTGCTCCAGAGTGAAGGTGACCTGAGATGAGGGGGTTGACGGTTCACCTTTCAGCACAACAATGACCCAAAGCAAGCAGCTAAGACAAGTGGTGGCTGATGTCTTTGGGACAAGTCTCAAACCCCATAGAACATCTGTGGAAAGGCTTCAAGATGGAAGTTGACAGACACTTCTCATCCAACCTGATGGAGCTTTAAGGATCTGTCAGGAAGAAAGGAATAAACTATCCAAATCTAGATATGTAAAGCTTGTAGAGACTCACCCAAGAAGACAAGGAGCTGTAACTGCTGCCAAAGAGGCTTCTATAAAGTAATGAATTTAAGCTCTGAATATGAGATTTCAGTTTTTGGTTTTTAATAACATTTTTCACTTTGTCATTATGGATTATTGAGTGTAGATTGATGGGCAAAAATGTCTGTTTTATCCATTTACTATTAAATCTACAACATAATAAAGTGAAGGGGCCTGAATACTTTGTGAGGCCACTGTATGTTGGTAGTGCCTTAGGAAGAGATCTGTTGTATGTACATTAGGGCACCTCACTATTGTCAAAATGGGTCCCAGTCATGTAAAGACCCGTCAGATGTAACTTACATAGCTCATTGCATTGATTATTTATTTAATTATTTTATGTGTAATTTTGTTAAAATTTGCCATATTGTGGTATACACTCAGTTGCTGGTTTATTACTACTGTCGTCTGATAGAACAGTCCTACAGTAAATCCTACCTTCATGAAGATTCTAATGTTCAGTTTTTGTTGCTGTGTCTCTATTATTTTTGTTACCCAGCTGCATTACACAACAAAGGAAACAGACTTGAGAATCAGTAAAGCAAACAGAAGCAGAGAGTGAGGGAGACAATTAGAGAGAGAAACAGAGTGAAAGCTACTGCTTACTGCATCTGAACCCCTGTGCTGGTGCATTAAAGCTGTGTGTGAATGTGTTACTAACTCAGTGGACTGCGATTTCACTCTCACTGGCATTAGTTACATCACCCGACTCCATCACGAAAACATATTCAAGCCCTTAAATCTATACGCATATATACTGTAGGTCCCCATCAGACCCTGGTCTAAATGGAAATCAGTGCAAAGACACAATTCACATTCTGATATTCTAATTATTTTAGACAGTACAGTCAATGTCTACAAACACAGACAGAAGAATCTTTGAGATACTCTATTAATATGGCTGCCATTTAAATGTAGGGCTTCCAGCTGAGAATTCATAAAATGTGCATCTTTGGCAGTAAAATTATTACATTAATGTATATGGAGAGGACACAGGATTTAACGCTGCCCATCTGCTGCTGAGTTAGATTAGTTCAAATTCTCTAAAAGAAATTGAGATGTACAATCAAATCCTAATGCTCATCTGTTTGCTCATCTGCTCATCTGTTTTACATTTAGACAGTAATCTGTTTTAAGTAACGGGACACTTTCTTTGACAAAGATATTGTCATTAACATAAAATCAAATCAATAAAAAACACACCAACTCTTAAAATCTTGTTCAGAACTGTCAGCTGTAAAGCTCGGAATATTTTCCCCTTCAAAATTTATATACAGCATTCCGGTGTGAAATGCGAGAGATTTTCTTGGGAGACGATTTGGAACAGTCACTTTACTGTCACTCTTTAATTTAGTAGCATTTGTGTTTAAACTTAACTGGGAGCCCTAATCTTAACATAAACATATCCTCCCTCATATTTAAATTCCAAATACTTTCAAACTGCATTCAGTGAAATGGAATGAAAAACATTTGTTTTGTTTTGGTGGCCTGTCGCACACCAGCGCAGTGAACAAGGTGGGAGGTGGGACTACACTACACAGCACACAGTGAACCTCTCACCTGCAGACACCAGAGTATTAACCGCAGGTGATTGATTTTAATTATAATGTACCGATCACGTAGCCGATTGATTGGGGCATTCCTACTTAAAATACAGTGTTAGGGTCATGCAAAAATTAAGCACATCCATAAACGCTGAATGAAGCTCATGAACTTACATATTCTTTGACATTTTTGGTCTTGACAGCTTTGTAAGAGTAGTATGCAGGATACAAGGTCCCAAACAGCAGCCTGCAGGGAGAGAAAACACACAACATGTAGCTTATCACTTCTATTACTCTCACAGCTTAAACAGTTACCCATTTACTAATATTTTCTTAATACTTGGAACCTGGAAACAAAAAAGTGTGGCTGAATGTGAATGGGCTCATTTGATCTGTCAGACAATTTGAATATTGGCCTCTGTGTTGGAGCTTTATATGCTGACAGAATATATATATATATATATATACTGGAGAAACACTGATGAAGACATTTGCTCTATTAACATAAAGTACAGTTTGAAGTCTACAGTACGTCTACACATTTATGTCTGATTTCTCAGTCACAACAGTTTCCTTCATAGTTATGAAGGGGATTTTTCACCAAAACCAAAATGGCTGTTCAGTATAATTCTAAGTGCAAACTGAGGCTTACATACAAAATTATGATTTTCCAGTTAAAAGCCATCATCTGTTCTAGCAGAACAACCTGAGGACTTATTTATATCCTGCAATGATTGGGTGTTGGGTTCTGACCCAGAGTCTGCAAACCACTGGAACACAAGACGATGACTCAGTGTTTCCTCTAATCTTCTAAAGCAGCAGCGGCTGGGGGTAATGTGGGGTTTGGTTCCATGTCTGGTCCAGTGCAGGTTTCAACACTACACTGCACTCTTCTTTTGTTCTTTTGCAATTACCCACACAGGATTTGCTATGTACAAATAACATATTCATTGTTTGAATTTGAGTGTCTCTGGGCTGTGGTGGTTTGCACTGCACTGCTGAAGAGTGCTGTTTTGTCTGTTCATTCCTGCTACCTGCATAGCAACTCTTTCATTGATTGGAAACAGAATGGAAACATTATGCTTAAGTACTTCCTGGATATCAGTTAGGGGACACTTATCAACATGAAAATATCACATATCACTGCTTGGGTTTTCTTAACCCCCCCCCACCCCCCCCCCCCCCCCCACCCCCCCCCCCCCCCCCCCCCACAACACACACACACACACACACACAAAGCATTTACTTGGCTCCACCAATCAATCAAGTTGCATTTTATATCCATGTCTGTCGTCCATACACATAATATATGTGGCGACTGTATCCGTCAAATTTTGTGCCGCCTCCCGAAAACATTCTAGTGCTTGTTTTCTCGGTACTCGGTGGATTTAACGTTTGTAACTGCAATTGCGGCTGTACACCACTACGAGCATGTAGTGGCGTTGTATCGTAATCCGTGCATCAGGCAGAGCCATCCGAAATTGCCAAAGAAGAAGATTACGGACGCGCTGGAATTTCTGCCGGCGGAAGGAGGTGGCGAACTGATTTTGCTGCTCTTCAAACAGGTGAATAGGGTTGCAACCCGTCCCGTACGGGATCGTCCCGTATTTGAAAAATAAAATGCTGCGTCCTGTATTAAATCCACACAGGACACCTCCGCCTACCGACAGAATTCTAGTACTTGTTTTCTCGGGACTTGGTGGATTTGAATCAATACTTTGATATCCTCAAAGTGCTGTGAATAATGTAATGTCAAGTAAAACCAAACCAGTTGCCACCCTTTTCACATAAAAAGGTGTGAAATTACATTTATTTAAATTATACTTATTCTAACTTTTTCTGTATTTTATGCCTTGTGCTAGCTGTTTATCTTTTACTGTGCATTGTAGTGTCCTAAAGTGCCTTGAAAGGCACCTATAAATAAAATGTATTCTACCTGCTTTCTGTTTGCACCGGCTCGCACATGCCCAGTGTACGTGATTGCTCAGGAATGTATGCGTTTTCAGGTGTGATAGTCTGGACGGAGATCGATTTTGTTTGAAATCGCCGTTTTAAAATAAAAACGTAGTAATGTGGACAGTCCTTGATATAATATTTAGAAAGCTCACCAACGACATCTGTTGGTTAAAACGCTCCATCAGCCCTCCTAGGGCCGAGTACAACGTGCAAGACCTAAAAACACAACTTTGCAAGCACAGTGGATTCATTTGGATTAATGCATAACTCAAAATGCAATGCCAGGTAACATTACCTATCTTTTAGTTTAGCTACAAGTTTGTTTGGTGACATTTTATATTACAAGGTGTATCCACTTTCATGCTGTATAAGATGCTCTGGATTCCACCATTATATGGTTCCCTTAGCAATGCATGCAAATTCATTTGGGGGCCTAATCTGGACCACCCAAAGACCTTCAGACCTAACTCTAAAAGAATCACAATAGACGGATTTGAAAATACTTGCTAGCTTAGCAACATTAAGGCAACAAAACATTTTAAAAAAAGTCAAAATGTAGTAATTGTCTCATCCTCAAATAGAAGATAACCCCAGTTTCTCTTATTAAATTTCCAGAAAAAAAAATTTGTTTTATATTTTGGCCAATACAGTATTCTTTCTTTCAAGGGCACTAGAGAATGCCCATTCATTCAGCCGCACAAAAACACTCAGGCAATGTGTCTGTCTTGTAACAAAAGGGAAATGGGAGGGGACTTCGGTGTGTACAATTGGTGGAGTTGCCCTTTAACTGTATTTCTACTGTCTGTAAATCCTGCTATCTCCAAACTGTCACCTTTAATGGGACTAAGGCCAAGACTACACCCAAGAATGAGTCAACCCAAAAGACATGAGGCATATAGGACGTCCAAGTGCAAGACAATCAACATAGCAACTGAGACACCTCGTGACATCCCAACAAAAACACTAGCATATCAGAATTTTCTTCAACTTCTATGATGTGTACGACTGATCAGTAGCAGCACAGTGAGCTTCAGCACACAACCGTAAACATGAAGAAGAGAGAGAATAAAGTTATTTTATTTCATTTCAGTAAACCTGTAACAATTTGACTATCACTCCTGAGGCCAGGAGCTTCATACCAAATGAATCACAGCTGTGCACACATATTTATACTTCTCACTCCACATTCACTCTCTTTCTATTGACTGTGAAGGGAAAAGGGAGATCCCAACTTCACCACTCAGTGAACATGAATGATTCCAAGATCACTTCCATTTATAAATGATAATGTAGCTAAACATTTGTTGTTTGTTGGTCCTTGGCTGCATGGTGTGTGTGTGTGTGTGTGTGTGTGTGTGTGTGTGTGTCAGCTGCGGAACATCTTGGTTTTCATTTCGGGACCCATGTTAAAGGTTTAAAGCGGACACACTGCCTGTGTGAGGTGCACATGTTATGCCTCGCGGCTGTGTAAGGTGATTCTGCATCTTGCCCACTTCTTTCTCCACACGTGACACTCGATTGCCATCAAAAACAGACAAAGAAAAGACCTGTTGATGTCATATTGACATCAAACCAGCAAGATCACATAAAACTTCCTTTCGCTATAGTTTCAATGTCTAGGCTTAATCTGAATATGAATATGAATGTCATGTGAAAAAACATTTTTTTAACCATTTTAGAAGCTGCATGTGGAGACTGACATTTTAGTGACATTTTCTGTCAAAAATAACGCAGAAATTATTTCATAATGAAAAGAAATCCAACATTCGAGTAGCCTACAAAGTCTATATAGAAAGATAGAGCTGGCAGTAGCAGCGATGCAGCAGACATGCAATCGGTGTGAGCACGCACACACGCCTGTGAGCTGGAGCAGGTCAGTGACACAGCTGCCATGCACATGCAATGTCGGAAGTGTGTTCCTGGCATCACGCATGTAGTTAAAGACGGCAGGGTATGATTCATCAGGGACCAACGTCTAGTCTGCCATGTCGCTCTCTTAAGTCACAGCAAGAATCTACTCTTTGACTGCCTAAAATGACAAAGTAACCATTTAAAAAGACAAAAACACCATGCAGTTTGATCAAAGTATAAGAATAACTTTCTTGTTTTAGCCCAATCTCCATATGGTTTGGGTTTCCAAATATTTTAGAAATCTGATGGGACCTTGATATGCCAAGAACCTCGTAAGGATGCAGTGAAACACTGGTCTCAAGCCATTTGCTTGCCCTGATGTGACAACCCTGACCTGGCTGCACAGGAGGAATGTAAAGATATGTAGCATGGAATCCTTTGACTAAAGTTAAACCATAAAAATCTGGATCTAAGGAGGATTTCACATAACAGCAATGAAACACACATAGACACATCATATACGGTCTTGTATACAGACACACTCCCTCTGACCAGAGTCCCCTGAGCAGCCGGCAAGCCGCCAAGAACCACAACAGTTTATTTTCCTGCTGTTGCTATAGAAACAGCAAAGCTGCCACAGCTCCAAAACTCTCTCTTCATGTCTCCATCTCTTTGTCACACTGTAATTTCAACTCACTCTGCTTTATTTGCATAATGGTAGAGAATAATACTGCAGAGCTACAAGCACAAAACATAAAAGTTTGTTACAGTGGTATGTGGGCATGTTTGTATGTATGCAGTGAGCACTGTCCCTCTTGTAGGATAGTTTATTGTGCAGGAAAACGGTGGGGTCTGGATGGTTAGTCTGGGACAGATGTACAATCAAGGACAGGAAAACCAAGCCTCAGTAGTAGACAGGAATCTGTATGAGTCACTTGTCAGTCATTTCATACACTGCAGTAATTTCAGGAGTTGCAAATATACAATGATTTGCTCCAAGTAAATTCAGAAAATCATAAGCTGTTTTTACCAACTGCAGCAACATCAATGGGCCTGAAATGATAACTCATGAGTAATAACATCCTTAATTCAAAGTTTTTGCCTTTAAGATTTGTTTCATTATGGATGTTGAGAAATATTGACTGATTTGCAGCACTACAACACAGTAGACCTATAGCTAAGAGAGGAAGCATATCAGTCCCTTTATTTACAGGTTTTGGAATAGTCACTTTTCAAATTAAAAAGGTGCTTTATTGGCATGAACATTTCAATAAACACTGTTGCCAAAGCATCGAAATTAGGGATGGGCACTTGAAGAAATTTCCGTATTCGATCATCGGGAAAATTAACGATCAATTATCGATTCATTTTTTTATATTAAAAAATGCCTAAGGCAGAAAATACTAAAGAAACCATCTTTTTCCTTTATGAAATCTTTAT